TGACGGGTGACGGGTCCCTGGTCATGACACGATGGCCCTGTGACAGGTCCCCAGCCACAGCGAGGGTCCCCACGGTGCCATGATGGGTCCCCAGCCACTGAGGGTCCCATGGGTCCCCAGCCACGATGAGGGTCCCCACCACCCCATGCAGGGTCCCCAGCTGCCACAAGGGTCCCCAGTGGAGGGTCCTCGTCCCCATCCCCATCCGTACGTACGGGCCTTGGTGAAGAGGCTCTTGATCTCGGCAACGGTGGCGTGGGGCTCCACCTGCGGGCAACCAGCCCCGGAGGTGGCCACAGGAGGGACAGGGTCACCCGGCGCCTGGGGAAGGACAGGGACCAGTGGCCGCTGGGGACGGAGGGGACAGGAGCGCGGGGCAGACAGAAGGTAAGGCTGGACTCCCCCCCCCAACACCCCCAGGTCACCAAGGCCCTTGGTGGCACGAGGGTGGGGACAGGCCTGGCCAAAGCGCGGCCACGCGGCTGGATGTCACCCCTGGGTCACCCTGTGACATCGTGACGGGGACGGGGGTCTGTCACCCCCGGGGACACCACGGTGGGGACAGAGGTCTGTCACCCTGTGACACCCTGACAGGGACAGGGGTCTGTCACCCCCGGGGACACCACGGTGGGGACAGAGGTCTGTCACCCTGTGACACCCTGACAGGGACGGGGGTCTGTCACCCCTGGGGACACCACGGTGGGGACAGAGGTCTGTCACCCTGTGACACCCTGACAGGGACGGGGGTCTGTCACCCCTGGGGACACCACGGTGGGGACAGAGGTCTGTCACCCTGTGACACCCTGGGACGGGGGTCTGTCACCTCTCCCCCCGGGACACCGGGGACAGAGGTCTGTCACCCTGTGACACCCTGACAGGGACAGGGGTCTGTCACCCCCGGGGACACCACGGTGGGGACAGAGGTATGTCACCCTGTGACACCCTGACAGGGACTGGGGTCTGTCACCCCTGGGTTGCCCTGGGGGGGAACAGGGGTCTGTCACCCTGTGACGCCCCGTCAGGGACAGGGGTACGTCACCTCTGGGTCACCCCAATGGGGACAGGGGTCTGTCACCCTCAGTCACCCCAGTGGGGACGGGGATACGTCACCCCTGTGACGCCCCGTCAGGGACAGGGGTCTGTCACCCTGGGGTCACGCCGAGGGGGGCCCCGCGGGTGCGACACCCCCACGGGCAATCCTGGACGTGCCAAACGAGGCGCGAGGGTGCCCCGAGCGTGGTGACGGTGACAG